CGAGATAATTTGGCATAATTTTTTTTGTTTCGCTTTTCGACCCCCATAATCATCATCACTATCATCTTCTTCACCACAACCACTTGAATTGTCCACACTACGCTTACCACTACGACTTAGTGAACTTCCTTTACCTCTACCCACAAATTGGTAAATGGAAGTCTTAGTTGAGATCGTAAATGGTTATCTTAGCAACCTCAGTGGATTTGTTCCGTGGATCAGTTTCACGCGCAAAACCGTTTGTGTCTGGTGTGTTATTTGTCACCTGAGTCGTCGTCCATGTTTAAAGGCCCCTCACCGTTCACGCGCTTGATGTATTTCTGCGAGATCACCCATAAGCTGCCTCCTTCTGATTCCTCGAAAGCACTTTATTGGTTCAATGACATTTTGATTGGTCAAACAGGCATGTTCCATCACTCACGTGATATCGATTCAAATTTCAAAACACAGGTTTATGTTATTCATCACGATGAACCAGGCAAAAATTTGCCTTGCATGTCTGATAGTATTTTAAACTTATCAACTAAACTACTTTGGAACAAAAATGACCACTTCCCCAATCAAAATCACACCCAAATTATGCTGTGTTCCATCTACGAAGAAGACAAGCATTAAAGACGTAGAATTTTGCTCATGTAAACGGGAACTGACCCCAAAATCGGCCAGAGGAACAGCCGTAGGTCCTTCTGTCACCTACTTCACGAGAAACGCGTCAGAGTGACCTTCTGCGCTAGACGTTGAAAAAATCTTGTTTTCTAAGCCTTTTGCATGTGCCTGAAACTCCAACTTTGAACTATTTGCAATATGCTGCGTATGCTTTTATCCACAAAACAATAAGTTACCTATAATATCCTGCGGTTTAATGTACTGGCTCTTGGCGTAACTGTTTCAGAATGACTTCATTCACCAAATGATCTGCCAGCACCTTTTGCAGCCCATGCAATTCGCTCTAATCTTTTTTTGGCCAACTCCACTACCAACACCTAGGTTCCCAGGTTCCAGCAACCTGCCCATAAATTGTCATCACCGGTCCATGAAAAGCGCACCCCTTCGAGCCAAATTGCCAACAACAAAAAACTCTGCCCCTTTTTTGTCTACTGAAGAGGCGTACTCCACAATAATAGGCGCTGTGTGGGAACTTTTGGCACACACACAGGCACAATCCCCGGCTTCGACGTGGGTGTGCACTTTCGCGCGGTGCAAATTTATCTTTTAAGCCTGACAGGCCACTGTGAGAGATTTGGTAACTAAGCTTTTTTTGTGCAAATTCACCTCCTGTTAAGTCGTCAATCCGCCCAGTCGACAACACCTTGAGCTCTTGGCTGTGTCATATCGTTTACTTAGGCAAACTTCGAGTGTTTGCAGAATTGAACTGAGTAACAGACTTCAGAGTTCTCTATTGGCGAGTAACGCGACTTTCTCATTAACTCGTTTGGTAATTCCAGCACGCCAATTGGCCAGTTTTTCTATTTCAATGGAGCTCAGGTACTTGCTACCTTGAAAATTATGAAATCTTCCAAACAAATTACCTGTTCCGTGTGTTATCTCTACATATTCCAGGAGTGTTCTTATAATGGCATAAGTCTTCAAATGTTCTATACGTCACACACCTCTATGTTCATTCCAAGATGCTGTACAGAATTTGTGCCAGCACCTGTTTCCTGTATTCATGCTACTTTTTCGCGGTTTAATTTACCCGGGTGATTAGTTTAGCTGGGCGAAGTCGATGCACATCTGGCGGTTTTATCAGCGGTTTGCCAAGAAAATCGCCACAAGGCGAATCGTCGTTGCTTCGTATGTGCGAGGCTAACAGTGAATTCCAGGGAAATGCACTCTTAATGCATATTGGTGCAATAATCCCTCTTCCTCGTAGAAAGATATCCTATTGCTTTGTTTAAATGAATTGTGCATAGATGTTTTTAATTGTTATTTCACAGGCATAGTCACTTACGAGCTGCGATTGGCTGAGAATGGTATTTGTGCATGGTTTATACTAGTGACCTCTGGATTTGGTCATAATTTAATAACGGTGACTACCTTACACAGCAGCTAAGGGTCTGAACCAAAAGGTGTAGATTGTTTACTGCTTCCGTTAAAACGTTGGCTACATCTCGAACACAGTTAGTTTGAACTTATCACAACGATTGAGGGGCCAGAAATTACGAAATCCCGGTGGCTGCAACTATTTAAAACGCATGACATTGCTAAGCATGTTCAGTTGTCGGCTGCAGCGCTGCACAGTCTCCGTATGGCCAGTTTCCATTGAAAACACAGAAGAACCTTCAAATGTATGTCCTGTTTCGGCGATCATGTACTGGACATAAGACATAATGTCGGCGCCTAGAACACTACAAAATGATTCCTGTGCTTTAGAAGCATTTCTAGTTGTTGTTGCATTGCCGAGAGGTTATGTCATTCACGTAGACTCGTCGTTCGGTGTTGTGAAACCTAGTGACTGATCCTTACAAAACCGCAAAAGACTGCGAAAACATTTCAATTCTAAACATAATTTAAAACAAAAAAGTATGCAGAAATCAAGTCCCACACCGAATAAATTACTTGGAGAACAGGCAGGTTTACTTTTAGGTTTGATAAGTTTGACAGGTTTGTTTAAATTAGTCCTGCAGAGTTAGCTTCCGCTTTTGGTTTTTGAAGTGTGCAGTTTGTGCCAGAAAGTGTAAATATCGTGGTGTTTCTGTGAAAGCATCGGCTTCATATTGTACGCAGTTAGATAGAGCATTCACATTCACGAAGTTCCGGTAGTTCAAATTCTTTTTAAACGCAGTGCAGAAAATTTTTTCATTTTGCAAGATTGTTTCACTGCTCATAATGCTGCAAACGGTCTATGATCTGGCAAATTTAAACAATACAGAACAGGTTAGGACTTAGACGTTTCAACATTTTGACATCCGTGCTCAAATCCACTTGCCAAATCGACGTTTATGCGCAAGCGAATTTCAAAGAATCTCCTTTGTAAGAAGTGGAGGTGGAAATAGAAAAAAAGCATTCATTAAGGAAGCTTATGTCGTGATAATTTAAAATTGCCTAATATTCAAATAATGTTCGCAGTATCATTGTGTTGAACCAATTATATTCACGGCTCTCAGACAACTGCTTTACAAATTTCATTGACACTAGTATCCTATGTCTGCTTTCTACAAGTTTGGTTGGTGTTCTACAAGTTTCGATATGACATCTTGTGCTGTAGATATCAGGCATTTTTAGTTTCGGTCTAAGAAGCACGTTTCGTTAAAAATTGGTCTCTTGTTGGTGGAAATTGAGGTGAACACTTCGCGAAACAGCAGAGTTATGAAACCCCTGGAAAGCTTCCTGCAACATGACACCAAATCGCCCTATCACCTAAACGTTCTCTTCCAAATTTTCACACATTTATGCCTTAATAACTGCGAGGGTCAGGCTAATTCGATGGCATCAACGTCTTAAGCATTGGCATTGCTGACGCTGGCTGATATCCCATTTGGGGTAGGGGGGTGGGGGTACAATTAACCAGCACCCCCTTAAAGGCGAGGTTTTCCGATCGGATTTCGGAATCCGACCACTGGGTAAACAAACCATCCGACGTCCAAAATGCCAATTAACAGCGCCATTTGACGTGTTTGGTTGTGCGATCGCAAATGCGGATTCCTCCGAAGAAAGGTGAAAGCGGGTGTCCGGTGAAGTGACATTTCCACGAGGCATAAACTAAGAGGTTTTGAGGTGGATGTCAGACACAGCATTCCTTATCACCTCATCCCCAAATAAATGCCCTTTGTAAGGGATCCTTATATACTTTTAATAAAAAAAACATATAATGTGTTGTCCAATCCTGAATCACCGATGTCTTGCTAAACCCGAATGCCTGTTCAGCTAGGCTCTCTAGCCTCAAGCATTTGACCTTGAACCATTTAAAAACCAGATTATATAAATGACTAAAAGTGGGAAAAAATTATTATAATATGTTTACAAAAAAAGCCATTCGAATGAAAATCCAACTTTTTTTCAAATTTCCGAACTTAAATTTGGATGATTTATTTTAACATTCATTTATACATTTCTAGAAAAAAATATTTATATTATAGCGGAAATTATGGTCTCACACTAAAGAAGTTTTAAAGTTTTGTAAAACCATTTGCAACCCTTTTTAAGATTTGTATACACTTAAACCCTCTTTTCTAAACACAAAAAAGTTGAAATTTTAACTAAAATTTAATATGATTTAAATGCGTTTCCCAAAGTAAATTCGCGTATATTTCTTTTTGATGCTACCTGTTCCTTAGAGAGAACAATAATTGATGTGTTCATTGGTTCTAACGTTAAAACTGGCACGCATTTGGCTTTATCAAATTGCATCGATTTAAAAACTTTGACCAGTGCTGAAAATATTTTACAAATCCACTCAATAATCTCTTTCGATATAATTGCTGCAATTCCACCTCCTTTTGAGATAGGGGTATGGAAAAATGATTAACGCAACTCAAAATCCGGCTACTCAATAGCCTAGTTCCATGACAACTCCGCTTTTTTTCACGAAACGAGAAAAAGGCAAAAACCTTCCCCTGAGTTATTGTGTAGCAAAATAAAGTGCGAGGAAGTCAGCCACGAGAACATTACAAATTAGCTCATTTTATTAATATAAGTAGTATAAATTAAATGCGAGACATCTAATTTCGTTGCAGCCAATCACACCTTCATTCTCGTCAATTCTCTACACAAATGTATAACCGAGATCGATTTATTGTGCGTGTGCGTGTGTGTTTGTGTTTGTAAAAGTGTGTTTATTTAAAACAACGACGCGTGAATATGCATAGTGCTTGGGAAATCTCTTCATTAAAACAAAGGGAACGGTAAGGTTTGAGTGGGAAAACACATTGTGGTCATGTTTACAAGTGGCTAAATCTGGCTGGTATATAACGGCGTTGTTCATGAGTAGATGTGCAAGCGGATGTGCAGTGTTGTGGTTAACGTTAAAAAAAGACCGCGCTACACAAAAGTAGGACGTGTCAAGCACAGGAGCAAGTGCATTTGTCACTGATGAGGTACTTTTGAACTTGCCAAGAACATCGATATCCGTTTGCCGTTACGCTTAGCTTTTCAATTAGTCGTCTGGCCTTCCGAGCGCGTTGTTCCTCCAGTTGCGCGGGATCCAATGGTCCCGCGACATCTCTACGTCCCTTCCATCTGCGCTGTTGGTAGTACCTCCACATGGGACTAGCGTGGGGTAAGTACGTCTGCCTTGGCTGCCTGCGGTACTCGTTCGAATTCGGGGTACCGGGAACACCATCGACATTCTGCTGATGGTACCGCAAGTTTATGGTTGGCTGCCTCAGGGATCGAGTTTGTCTGCTTAGGGGAGAGTTAGACGACGCCTGGGCAGCGTCTTCACAGTTCCAGTTCAAAAGACGCAGCACTCTTGAACCTGATGGCTGACATTTCATCCCAGGTGGCCATGAACACGAGGATCCTAGACGAGCCAAGCAGACACCCATTCGAATCCACCGTGGCCAATAGAGCGAACCTAGATCCTTCCAGATAAAGTCCATCTCACAGGTGGCCTGCTCAATGAGCCAATTGCGAAAGATTTGAATCTGGGTTTCGGGCAACAAGAACTGCGCTCCTGTCTGATCACGGAAGGTCATATTTAGGGCGTTCGCTTTTCGGATCAGATTACTATCCACTGAATTCGTGCCCGGTGGATTAGAGGCGTCTGACATCATTCCGGACACCCCACGTTGGCGTAGCACGCGTGGAGGTTCCTCAGAGGTCCAATACTTATCCTCTTTTCCGCCCAACAGCTTCCAGAGCCGATGAATTTTCCTTGGGGACACGTCCGGGTGAAGGTGACTCACGATGTTTGGGTTGATTGGTTGTCCCATGACACGCATCGATCGATGGGGTACATCAATGCCAGTTTGGAGTCCTGGCTGTGAGACGGTAGGCTCCTTCTTAGTCAAGTGCCCTAGGCTTATGTGGTTGCGATTGGAAAGGGATAGCCCCATTCCTCCCGCTCCGGTCGCTTCGGAGGACTTTGTCATGAATGGAGATGAGGATGCGCCAGATGGTGCCTGCTGGGCATGTGTTCTTCGCTGATAAAACAATGCTGAAGCAGAGCCTGGCAGTCTAAGGGCTTGACTAACTTTAATATCCACTGATTGGTCGTCTGACGCATTGAAATTGCGACGGAATAAGTCGTCAGCCAGAGCAATAATAAGTGAAAAATTGAGGAAGACCAAAAACGTTTGACGGATCATACTTGATAAAGGATGTTAGCAGTGCTCTTGGCTCTTAGAATTCCAGGTCATAATTTTGGGTTCGGATGTATGTGTATGCGTAAATCAAAGCAACTAGCTAGGGGAAGCACAGCAATTGGACTGGCACAGCAACGGTGCTTCATGCCCTCAACTTAAGTCCAACTGGCGGCCGACCGCAAGCGGATTGGTCAAAGCAATCGTTGTCTCGCGCAGCCGACCAATCAGAAAGGTGGCTTGTGACTGCGCCTGTGCTGCACGAACTTTTCAGCCCATTTGCGCATTAAGTCATCATGAGAGCCTCCCTTTCTTAGGGACAGCTTTGCTGTTTCACTCAAATTTTTTGCAGTGACAGTAACAAGCGAAAATGATCGCCTTGGTAATGAGGAATGAAGCCTAGCTTTAATGAAATTAAGTCCGCGCACATCCACTGTGTAAAGTAGTCCATTTATGATTTTCAAAGTGCCCTCAAGTTATCGTAATCGGCTTACGTTGGCTCTAATTGTTGCATCAAATCAACAGCGGAAATTAGTGTAAAGAGCTTGAAAATCAGAAGCATCCAGTGGCCAAATGCTTGCGTAAGTTGGTTCACTGACAGTGTGATAAATTGGCGAAGGGAGTGACAAGCGTGGGACTTACTGCACCTGCTGGAGTCGCCCAGGTGATATGACGCCGTTTTTGATTTGGTCCAGTTACATATTATGGCTAACTTTGTGCTGTGTTGGGTTTTCGAGTTTGAACCCTTGAGCCTTGCCCTCAATATCGCTAGCAAAATTAAAGAAACATTTTACTCGAGTACTGTCATGCACATGGTTAAGCGATTCGATTAAATTCAAGAAAAATCCCTCGTCGAATTAATAAAAGAAGCTGATTCGTATCCAAACTTCGCAGAAGTTTCCGACGATAAATGGTTTTCAAATTAGGTTTTTAGGCAGATGTTCGCGAAGCAAGCAAAGAGAGAAAAATTAGACTTAGCATCACCTAATCCTCGTCATTTTGAGGGTAGTTCCAAGTCGAAATACACAAAAATCACTTCAAAACTTTGACCTCAAGGCTACGGAACGTTTTGAAGCTGGCCCTTCAGTTAAAACAGGACTCGCGTAGGGTGAGAGTAAAATCCCTTACTTGGCGGACATCAGCGCCAACGGCACCAAGTATGAAAATGCGAACTGGTTAGCGACCACCACGTGTAACACCCTTCCGTTTAGTTACTCCTCGCTGACATCCACCGTCTCTCTTCATCTAGCTCACTGAGTTAGCGAAAATTCCATTTAACAAATGGAGTTATCAACTTTGCCGAACTGCTGGATGACTAGGGTGAATCTGCACTTGAGGATTTTGTAACAAACGCCAACAGCAGCATGCATGCGGTGGATTAAGCATCAAATGAATTCCGAAGGCGGTAATCCCCAGGCCCCTGCACAGCCCTTTGTGGTGCATTGTGGCAATTTGCATCCCTCAATTCTGTGGACAGATACTTGCAGATAACACCTTGGAAATAAGCTCTGTGAACGCCACAGAAGACACAAAAGCACTCAATTAAGTTTTTTTCATCTATTTAAAGCAATCATCCTAGCCATCCTGTGTGTTTAAATACAGTAATCGAGCTAAAACAATCTGATGGCATTCTGAAACCCCGTGGATGTTGTTAATGAAAAAAATCTCTTTAATGACCGAATACAGTTAAGACTTTGAATAGTTACTAAAAAGCAACAAAAAACCAAATTTGGTAACAGTAAAAATGTGCTAAAACGGTCGATAACTTGACATTTCACTAACTTGAGAAGCTTTTGCTGTCATTAAGGAAAACAAGTGCAACTCATTCGAATGTACAGGAATGTTCCGTGTAGAGAGATTTCCTTATGGCCGATTTCCAAGGCCACAAAGGGATAGGTATTGGTGATAAATGTACATCGTAATGCTACACACAAGGTAATGAGAATTGGAATAGAGAGCACCTTCCACACACACACATCATCTATCCCACGATCTTCTTGATCACACCCTCGATACCTCGATTGTGGTCTGAATTAGCAGCCTGAGTTAATCGATTCCGTCTCAAACAACGTAACAAGTGTGTACTTTGAACAGGCACATGTAATTTTGCGTGTGTGTGCGTGTAAGTGTGTGAGTTTGGAGACCCCTGGTTGCATTTTCGTGTTTGTTTTCAGCCACAGGCACTGTGATTTAAGGTCATTTCTGTGCGTGTGTCGAAGGTGTGCACTCACATGTACAAATCAGCAACACTTGGGTGTTTGTGGTGCCTCGTCTGGGTGAGGGCTATTAGCGACAATTCATGACCTCTCGCTCAGTATCTGGCAGTGTAACACTTGCTCAAGATGTGATTGGACGGATTTGATAACTTGAATGAACCTCCATCAACCGATTGGCTCGAAAATTTCGCCTGTTTTGCCACAAAGAAAAAAACGGATTTTTAAATGGAAATAAGACTGCTTAAAAATACCAAAGAAGAAATTTTGTAATTCTTTATAATCTAATCTGCAGTCAAGTCCTCAACTTTCCATTTTATGTTTCCAATGATTTCTGAAAATGATTCATGTTAATCTTACTTGCTGAATTAGTACACCACTGCGATTGCGCCACTCCCTAGCACTAAGCCGTTGTCTGTTACCAAATAGTAACTCTTCAAAAATTCCATTTTTAAAAAATTAAGTTCATAACTCTGTAGAAATAAGTTTTACCACAATACGAGAACATTGGTTTACGTCCATTTGTTTTGTTTGGGTATCTGACATCAAAGAAAGATTCAAGGCTTGCTGAATGTAACCTGATCTTGGGAGGATTTTCAATGAATAACGTCACTTAATCTTTGTGTTTGCTTCTTAAATTAACTTCAGTACCTTTGATTAAATCAAAACTGATCAAAAACCAATTTCTGAAGCAGTGGCAGTTGTTTCCTGTGGATTTTAGCCGTTGCGGGATACTTTTGTGGGCACAATTTAAACAAATCATTAGATCCATAATTAAGTTAATTCATTGATTCTCCACTCGTTGATACGGTAAATCGCTTGGTAAGCGTGAAGATGGCGAACGCTTTTTCCGCGTAAATCACCTTGTTTTAACAGCCCTGCCTTCAAAATTTAGGTAACTCTTCCTGGGCCTTTAATGTGTCCTGCTTATAAGGCTTACGCGCCATTCAAAAACATTAAATCAGCAAGTTTTCGAGTTAAAGTCTGTGCGTTGTTTTGACACAATAAATGCAAAAATTTTTCCGAACATTTTGATTAATTACTAACCATTATTCCGTCGTCTTCCAATTTTTTATTTCGTGGAATCAGAGGCGCTGCACAGCATTTGATTGTGCCTGAATTACATAAGCAGCTTAAATACTGCAAGGCTTCATGGAGGTAGCGTTTGTTAAACTACTAATGTACTTCGTATTATGCCCCATAAATATCACCCAATGTGTAACAACTTTACAAGTCAAAATGTAGGTTTATACTTCTACCGTTTCAGATGAAAATCAGGAGGAGATACAGTGGGTGATGTAGGAGGACTATAAACCCCGAATCCCTAAGTTTTCACCATGTCTCTTGAGTGACGAGTGGCCTGGGGTTGTCATGGTGCAAGATGATGCTGAATTCATGTGCAGATTTTGAGCTTTTTGTCAAGTGGCTATGCCAGCAACCCTGCTGTAACAGCCCGAGAGGAAAGGTAAGACCGATGATAGCAAAAACGACAATTTTTTTTTATATTTGACCAGCCAAGTCTGTTGTAGCACAGCGCGTGAGTGCATCTCCAACGTCAACTGTAATTGACAATCAAAATGGCATCCGATCCACTTGTAAATAAGCTCCACTCGTGCTCATTGGATGAACTTCTACTACAAAAATTGCTCATAACACTTCTCGAAAATTGTTTTCTAGTCATATGAAAATGGATTCCTCTGCGATCCCCCCACCAGTCACAACCACCATTCCCATTGGATGAAGCAACTTAGCTATTGGCAGGGTCAGTTCTTGCACCCCCATGCTCCTAGCATCTACTTCCGAGTTTCCCGTCCCATGAAAATCCATGTTTCACCACAAGTTATAACTTAATGAGGAAAAGTCGGGTTTTGTTGATGGAAGAGGGGAGAGATATTGTTGGGGTAAAATGGTGATATTTGTTGTGTTGTGTAGCAACGTGTGGAGCATGTATATTGCAGTCCAATTTTCATCATATAGTCTCTCAGCAATGTCTGTAGTGATTAGTCACTAAATCAAAGAAAAACTCATTTTCGATGTCACACATTCACTAACTAAACCACTTTTATGTGTTTTTAAACCTTGAATAGGATCCACCAAAAATTTTGAGAATCACATGTTTCAGTTACAACACTCATTCTTTTCGAAACCATGACGAAAATGTAAATATCGTTACCTATTTTGAGTATTTACCTTAAACAAAAATTGATCTAGAAACAATGCTTTTAAAGACTATGTCGACACAATGGAAGACACATCAGTGCACTTAAAAGTGCATGCTTCTGTCATCCAATGGATCTCGGGAACATACTCTTGCAGTCGCACAAGAGCATTCATTTTATCATCTCTGCTTACGTCCATCGAATCAGGGAACAGAGGTGTGACAGAAAGGCGAAACGGCCATTAACTAGGTTTGGGACAGCGTTAATGTATCAAAACGAATTTGCTTCTAACCAATCAGAGAAGATTTCGTGTGCTGTTTAAGAATTGAGCGCCACCACAAGCAAACGGAGTTTTGTAGTAAACATCAACTACAAGGTAAGCTTAGAACACTTGGCATCTGCTGCATCTTATTAACAGTTAGATCTTTAATAAACTATTAAATAACGAGTCTCTTCCCAATAGATATGATGTAACGTATCGTAACCCTTCGGAAAACAAAATCGGCCACATCAGCCTGCACCAGATTTTTTCAAGGGAGCAGGATCGCTTGTGTGGTAAGACTTGAAATTTCAAAAGTGGTGCAAGTGGAGAATTAGGACAGGAGAAGGAGGAGGAGAAGAGAAAAGGGGAAAA